CACCGCCGCCACTGCTCGCAACCTGGCCACCCTTTGCACTTGTGCTCACGGAAAACTTCTCCCCGTTGCAACCCGCCAATGTTCCCCTCGCCGCGGCGCAGCGGGCGGAGGCGGCCGCCCTGCACCGAGCCTGGGAACGGGAATATGCAGGCAAGATGGAGCCGAGCTGCTCCTGGTGGTGCCGGCATCGGGGCAAGGGGCAGCAGGCACGAGCTGCAGCTGGGGAGAAATCTAGTTAAATATTAGGAGATAGCTTTTAACTGTGAAAGTGATCAAGCACCGGGCACGGAGAGCTTGTTGTCTCCAGTATAACCCCAGAGAAAATCAAAATTCAACTGGGGAAGCACTGAGCCACCTGATTTAACTGTGAGGTTGGATTTAAATTTGAGATTGAACCTGCTTAAAGCAGGGTTTGGGTCAGAAACCTCCAGAGGTCCCTTCCAAGCAAAATCAGTCTGTAATTCAGCTGTGCAAAGCCACAAGTTCAGCCTGCAAGGCTGGGATGTCATAACAGCCCCATCCCACTGATGGGGAAACTGAGGCAGAGGAGGGAGAGGGGACATGTGCGGGGCAGTGCAAAAAACCTAAGCTCTCCAGTGTGCATCCCTTTCCTTACATTTTAGTTTAATAAATAGTAAGTGTTTTTTGAAAGGCAAGGTCAGCACAGGACTGGCGGCTGCGTGGACCCGGGGTGCAGCGCAGCATGTGCTGCTGGAGCATGTGCAGGGACTTCAGCCCAGGAAGGTAAGGTGCAGAGGTACAAAGGATGGCTGATAACAGCCAGCCGTGAGTCAGAAAGCCCATGTCTGCAGTAAGGGACACATCACCTGCCAAAGCATTGGAGTCCGACCCAACATGCGTTGCCTCTCCTCTGTCCTTCCTTGCAGCAGTCTCTGCCCATGCAGAGGCAGAGCACACTTTGAGCCTAGTTCAAATTTAGGCTAGAACGAGGAAAGGACCAAATCCCTAGGAAGAGCTGCACAAGCTGATAGCTTTTATTACCGGTGTAATAATTTAATATCACCAACGTGCATCTGAGCATCTGTTCACCCAGCACACCCTGATGGGACCTCACCTACTCCCACCACCGTGGGACTTCATGCCCCTTGGCATTTACTTACCATACGTCTAATTCTTTCAGTGTGTGCATAAGTTGTGTGAGGTAACTTTGCCGTTTCATCTAATTTATTTGTTTTTTTCAAGTGAAGAGCTTACAATAAGTTCAATGATCCCTTCAGCCTTACAACCCTCTGGGGCGCATGCAGGAACCCTGCAAAAAAATGGGTTCTACCAGGACACCTGCTGCTCTGTGCTTGCAGACAGCAATAGCAGCAAGGCTGTTGCCACAGCTTTATCTATGTCCTGGGCCTACCAGCGCTGATAGCCCTTGCTAATGAGATTGTCGGTTAGTGCTGTGATGGCAGGGATTGCTTACGTGGCAGCCACAGGCGAGCGCAGAGCACAGAGGAAGCACCTGGGACACGCACCGGGATGGCAGTGCCATTTATTGGGAGGGCTTTTCCCGTGCTCGGCCCTGCAAGCTCCGTGCATTCATGTTTAGAGTGCCATTTCTTTAATGTTATTTTGAATTTTAAAAGAAAGTAGAGGAAGAGCATGCCTTCCTGCCTGGGCTTACCCACTGCAGCAGCAGACCAAGAGCTGGAAAATGTAACAGCTTTAATTAACCTGGTCTTACATGATGCCGGGTGCCTCCGTGTTCCTGCTGGGATTTGCACTTCCACTTTGGACCTTGTCTGTTCTGAGCAGTTCATGCTCTTTGGACTCACCTGTCAGAAATCAGCTGTATTTGCAAACCCCAGCTAAGGCTGCTGTCAGACTTTTTCCGCGTTTTTTGTACCGCATTGGTTTTCATCCCTCCAGACAGAATTTCCTCAGCCTCTCCACCCACCAAAGGCATCCCAAAGCATGGCGAGGAACAAGGAAGCAGAAGGGCACATACAGCTGTGAGAAGCCAGTTTTTTTCCTGCACAAGTCCCCCCCAAAATTTCAGGTCTTGCCCCAGAGCGTTGCAGCACTCCAAGGAAAGCGCTGCAACACTCGGCTTGTTGTTTGATGAGCAGCTCTCTGTCCTCTCCGGGCCCCTCTGTATGTCCCAATCACAAGCAACGCGTTTGGGTTTGGTCCCCTGTCCATACCCCCAGCAGAGCACCCCCAGGCCCAGGGGCGCTGGGGACCACAGGCTCTGCCAGAGCCACCAGCGAATCCCCGTGTCACTAGATGGCGGCAACGCCTCGCATCCACGGAGGAGGTGCACGAACGCAGCCTCGGGGGAGCCTTGACCTGCTTTGCCCCCAGCCTTTCCCACCCTCGCAGGGGTCCCTCCACATTTCAGGCCACGGACACCCGGCCATCCCGCAGGGATTTGAGGCAACAGCCAGGAAACACCTCTCCAAAGAGCCCCATTTTGGAGCCGAGGTAGAGGAGGCAGGGGCGATGTCCTGCAGCAGGAGGCCAGGCTACGAATGTGGGTGACCTGAGCCACCGCAAGGGCTCATTGAGGTGGGAAGGAGGTTCTTCATGTTCACCCCATCTTCTCCCTGAGCTGGGGTTTTATCACCCTCCGTCCAGCAGGGTCTCTCCTCCCCTGGGGGTCTCTGGAGCCTACCCTCAGGAGAGACTCAGAAAGGGGCGCATGGAAAGACCCCGACTCGCAACCAGGACCAGAACGTGCCAAATTTAATAAAAAAGCCTCACATAAGCCTGAATAGCACAAAAATCTCCCCGTATCTCCCAGTCCTGTCTCTGCCCATGAGCTGTCTGGTGTCTGAAAACCACACACAAACAAAAGCTTTCAGACCTGTAAGTGACTCAGGCAATGCCAGGCAGGTCCAGTAAGCGGGTGATAAGGATGTTTGGGGTTTTGCAATGCCATTTACTAACCTGTGCAGAGTACGTCCCAGTGGGAAGCGTGTTATGTTGTCTGAGAAAAAATAAGCTTGTCGCTGGGGGTTGTTGAAGAAGTTATGTGTCCCCTGCCCTCTCATGCACAGAAGTATGAACTTTCACAGAGAAAACAGGGAGATTCCAGGTAAAAACTATAAGGTTTTGGCTAGAAATCAAACCATTTCAGTTCTGCTTTCTCAGAGGCAGACCCACACATTGGTGAGGTTCAGAGATTCATAGCAGGAAGGGGCCTAGGGAAGTCTGCAGAGAGTGTCTGCAGCTGCACAGGCAAACATGCACCAGAATCATCTGTTTGATCAGGCAGAAATGTAGAATTGTAAACTCATTAAAGTGCATGAAGCTGCCCCTTTGTTACAGCAAATGTGGCTCTTTTCCCCTCTTTCTAAATCTGATATAAATTGTCAGTATCTCAGCTGACATGAGGTAGGGCTTCCCTGTGGGACAACACCTCTTCTCACCTACAAAAGTGCACACACAATTTTCCACGTCCACCTCTGGTGATTTTGCAGGGCAAGGAGCTGCCAGCACGTCAGCCCTTTCCCCACGGCTGGGTGCGATGCTCTTTCCTCACCGCGAGGTGTTTCACAACAAGCTCAAGGACATCCATGTTATTGTTTGGGGATTGTGGACCGAAGTGCAGGACCCACTCGTAAAGGCAGAGCAGAAAGGGAGCGCGAGGATGGGATTGTGCAATGCTGGCTCCCACGATGGGACGTTGAAGACACTATTAACTGGAGAAGGTTGTGCAATCCAGTCCTACTGCGCCAAAGATTATATTAAAACCCAAGGCCAAATCTTACCTCAAAATCTGCAATCCCATAGGATATGGGCTCTATGGCCACTGTCGTGGTTTAACCTCAGCCGGCAACTGAGCACCACACAGCTGCTTGCTCACTCTCCCCCTGCCCCCCCCAGTGGGATGGGGGAGAGAATTGGAAGAGTAGAAGTGAGAAAACTCGTGTGTTTAGATAAGAACAGTTTAATAATTGAAATAAAATAAAATAGTAATAATAATAACAATAACAATAAAAGAATACACAAAGCAAGTGATGCACAATGCAATTGCTCACCACCCGCCGACCGATGCCCAGCCAGTCCCCGAGCAGCGGCCCCCCCGGCC